CCCAGGTTTAGTTTCCGCTAGGGGCACGTACCACAAAAAATAAATAAATAAATAAATAAATAAATAAATAAATAAATAAATAAATAAATAAATAAATGGCTCAGGGAGAATGTAGAGCAAGCTGAAGTTAAAACTGGGAGATACTAATCTATGGGGTGAAAAGGAGTAGTGGCTAGAGAAAAGCAGAAGGGAACCCAAGGGAGACTCATGTTCTCAGGCAGGTGCATCCTTTTTCTTGTGGTTCTCTGCACAATCTAGAACACCACTTTTATCCAAAACCATTCATATACACAAACCCAAATTACTCACAGGAGGCAGGGCTGCCTGTCTGAAGTAGAGATGTGGTCTGATGCCTTGAAGCAGAACAAAATATCCAGCACCAAGGGGCATTTAACCTAGGGCAGGTAGGTTAATAAGTTTTTCTTCCTAAGTGTAACTAATCTTGACCAGTCTCTATTGACCCTCTTTCCTATTTTCTTTTTAATAACTACTTTTTTAAGTTATCAGGGTTTTGAAGTCTGATATTTCTGTGTTAACGGTTCCTTCCTGTCTACAGTGATCTGCAAGCATACATAAACCATTCCCAAATAAAGACGATTTACCTTTCTCACACTATACATCCATTCAAAATGTAAGCTGCACCTCTTAAAGCTACAGTTCAGAATGAAAATGCTTTATTTCAAGAAATAATTAAATGAGTGAGCTACATCATTAGAAATAATAGCATATAGATGTGTGGGAGTTTCTTCCTGAAAATTACCACTTTTTTCCTAAGTATGCACTGCATTTAGTTTTATTGATTGCATTTTAATAACATTATAAAGTTGTTTGATTTACAGTGTAGACTACACTTCCTCTCATATTGTTACAATTGAGCATCCTGACTTCCCAGTGTACCATTCTACCTTAAACCTTCCAGGTGTTATATCATCCACTCCTAAACAGATGCATTCCCCCTTTAACTACATTTAAGTAAAAAAGAAGTAAGCCTGTTAAGCAGTTAAATGATTGGTGTATTATAGGTTAAGAGGATTACTAGGCATCCTTGTAGACCAAACATCCTTGTGGCAGTTTGAGTTCCTAAAAAATAAACACTAAACTTGTTTAATAAAATGGAACTTTTAAAGTCTTTAGGGAACTCATTGTGTGTGTGTGTGTGTGTGTGTGTGTGTGTGTGTGTGTGTGATCTTCATGTAAAGCTGACCTTTCTATTCTTTGTTTTCAGGATATCATCAACTCACTAGTAACAGCAGTATTCATGATAATCGTATCTGTGTTGGCACTGATACCAGAAACCACAACATTTACGGTCCTCGGAGGGGTAAGTGGAGGTCTTTCTGGTTTATTCCTTTAGGTTTGATTAGAATTCAAATATATTTGAAAAAATAGCCCTGGCCGGTTTGGCTCAGCGGTTAGAGCGTCGGCCCGTGGACTGGAGAGTCCCAGGTTCGATTCCCACTAAGGGCATGTACCTCAGTTGCAGTTTGTCCCCAGCCCCGGTTGGGGTCATGGGGGTGGCAGCCACTCGATGTGTCTCTCTCACCTCGATGTTTCTCTCTCTCTTCCTCTCTCCTTCCTGTTCTGTCTGAAAACAAATGCAAAAGTGTCCTCAGGTGAGGATTAAAAAAAAATAGATACAAGAACAAAAAACTATACTGGCCCTGGCCAGTTTGGCTCAGCGGTTAGAGCGTCGGCCTGCGGTCCGGAGAGACCCGGGTTTGGTTCCCGCTAAGGGCACGTACCTTGGTTGCAGTTTGTCCCCGGCCCTGGTCGGTTGTGTGGGTGGCGACCACTCGATGTGTCCCTTCACATCGATGTTTCTCTCTCTCTGTTCCTCTCTCTCCCTCCCACTTTACCTGAACAAAAAATGGAAAAATGTCCTCGGGTGAGGATTAAAAAAAAAAAAAACTATACTGTATTTATCCTTAGGTCTCCCAGGTCAGTACACAGTACCCAGTGGCTTAATATGTTTTGTATGAATACATGCCCTGATTAAAGGAACATAGTTTCACACTAAAATTGAAGTTAACCAAATGAAGAGGATCCTGCATATTTCCCATGGGTATATTGGGCTAGACTAGACTCAGAAAAACTACTGAAATCAGCTGCAATACTTAGCTCTGAGAAACTTGATGTCAAGCAAAAACACCATGAATGAGTTTCATATCTCTCCCTCTTGGGGCGGAGGGTGGGGATACGTACCACTTGTTAAGGTGAGACAGACTATTCTAAGCTCATTTATTTCTTGTTCAGATCCTTCTTCAGAAGGAATATAATAAATGTCTCATGATAAGGGAATGATGGTAGGAAGCCTTGTAACTAAAGGATTATTTTGAACACAATCAGTTTAATCAGACTTTATCCTGAAAGGCAAGCCAAAATAAAAAGTATCAAGTAATGTAGTTGAAATAGTCCCATCTGATATTCTTCTGAGATTTCTTACAGGAACTTCAAAATCCTTTGGCTTTTCTAGATTCTAATCTAGAGAAATGAATTAGAAAATTCTTAAATCTCACTCCTACTTTCTTGTCTTTTCATAGGATGGACCACTTAGGAGAACTGACTACTCTCAGATAGCCGTGTATGTCAGAATCCATGGCTTTTCATTTCCCTTATTAAACCCTAAGCAACTTCATGAGGGATGGGAATTACTCTAGAAATGAGATAGTGCTTTAACGGCAACTTTCCCCTGTTGTCTTTAAAGAGAATCTTACCACCTACTATGGAAAAAAGGGGACCAGGCATAGGATTTACTTTCATTCACTTATTTACTCAATCATTCATTTTTAATATGTTTTTTATTTATTTTAGAGAGAGGAAAGGAGAAAAGGCAAGAGAGAGAGATACATGGATCGGCTGCCTCCTGTACCCCCCTTCTAGGGATCAAGCCTGCAACCCCAGCAAGTGCTCTGACCAGGAATTGAATCAGGACCTCTCAGTCCATGGGATAACACTCAGTCCACTGAGCCACACTGGCTGGGCCATTCATTCATTCTTTAAGTGCACTTTAGTAGGTGCTGACAAAGTATGGAGCTGTGCTGTCCAGTGTGTTACCCACTGGTCACAGGTGGCTACTGAGTACTGAAAATGTATGTGATTGGTCTATATTGAAATGAACTGTACATATAAAATACACTGGATTTCATACACTTACTACCTAAAAAAGAGAATATATAATATTTCATTAATAACTTCATTATATTGATGACATATCAAAATGATATTTTGGATATATAGGGCTAAATGAATATGTTATGTTATTCAAATTAATTTCACTTGTTTTCTTCACTTTTTAATGTGGCTATTAGAAATTTTTTTATTAATTATGTGCCTTACTTACATTGGTGACTCACATTATATTTCTTTTGGATGGCACTGGGCTAGAATGTGAGTCCTTTCCTCAAGTTACTTAGAGCCAATGCAAGAGACAGAAGTGCAAATAACTGTTTGCAGAATACTTTGGGACATAGAAAAGAGGAAGCAGCTACTCTCTGGCCACAGAATCAAAGTTTGCCAGGAATAAAGGGGAAAGGGGGCGGGAGGTTTCAGGTGGAAGAACCAGCAATATGCAGAGTACCAGAGTCATGAAAGGATAGGTAGGTGGTAGGTAGTGTGTGGTCAGAGCCTAGGAAGCCTTGGTTGAGATTCAAGGTGAAAAAGAATCAGTGTCTGGAGCCAGAAAGCCAGACTTCCAAGCCTGTACATGGAGCTGAGCAAATAGCATGCAGGGAATAACATACCCCTTCTCCAGCCCAGGCATTAGCTCTCAAATAGCCATCAGAGTACCTAAAGACCATGTTCTAGTCTATTCCTGTTATCTCAATTTTATTTTCCTAAGGACTATTTAGAGTCCCACTCCTTATGTGGATGTAGCCCAGACTTTAAGAGTTCACTTTGGATTATTTTATCACTCCAGTTCTCCAAAGCTTTTGTCACAGCTACTATTGCCATGGTTTAATCTTGAGCTGGTGTTAATATTGACCCTTTCTCCAGTAGAGTTTGCAACAGGAAAATCAAACAGTTGAACACTGGAGATATAAATGTTGACTGATAACTAAATATCATCAGTAGGCCTTTAAACAGTACATTCCAGGAGCAAGTCCAGAGATCTAGACAAGCATTTATTTCAGAGCCCAAACCACTTCAATATTATTCCTGTTCACTTAAATGATCTTACCGCTCTCTCTAGGCAGGCATTGGGAAAACTTGGGAGTGAGAATAAAATGGCCTGTAAGGTCTCTTTCCATTTTAGTATTAGGTGGCATGGTAGGGAGTAATCCCAGGCCCCTACCAGGAGAGGAAGCCGGTGGGCAGACCACTTTTAAAAACCTGTGTGGAAGACGGAAGTCCAGATCACGGCCACAGCAGTGACACTGTGTCTTTGTCTCCAGGTGTTTGGACTCCTGGCGGTGGTGTGTTGCATTGCTGACGGGGCTCTTATTTACCGGAAGCTTCTATTTAACCCAAGTGGTCCTTATCAGAAAAAAGCTGTTCATGACGAAATATAAGTGTTGTAATTTTATATTCCTTTTTAGTATTAAACATGTCTATTTTTCCACATGATTTCTGCAGTTCTCATTTTCATCTCAATATGGGATCTGGAGGAAGAGATTTAGGAACTCTGCGCCCAGCCTTCACCTGGACTATAACTTCCAAGAGCGCCTGGATGGGATCAGTCAGGTTTTCTGCTCCTGGGCCTGGATGGCAGCACTGTTGTGGGGCTGCGACACTGAGTTCCCAGGCTGGCCATGGCGCAACCTAAGTGGCAAGGAGGGTAGCTGGAGGGTATGATTCTTCCTCAGGCGGGGAGGGCTGGTTGTGCGCGAGAGACCGGCCGGCAGCCGTTGGGGCGTGAAGCTAGGTACCCCGGAGAACCGGCCGCCACCGTGCAGGGTCAGAGTCGCAGGGCCAACCTGCCATAGCCAGGCCCTGGACACCCTCCCCCCGCCCCCATGTATTCTGAAGACGCCTAGGAATCTTAAAGGAAATTGCAACCCCAGATGCATCCCGCCTCGGGGCGTCCTGGGCGCGGTGCACCCTCAGTGAGGCAGTCCACACACACTGCGCATCCAGGACCCAAAATACAAATCACAGGCTCAAAGAGGCCCACAGGATCCCAACTCCAGAAGCCAGGTGAACAAGTGCCCCCGAGCAAATCGGAGAAGGAGGCTATTCTAAAGCGTGCGGAGGGCCGGACCAGAGTCCCATCCAGATTCAGGGACGGCTTCAAGCATTTTTTCTTCTCACCCACCGGAGCGTTGAAGGTCTTGAGGATGGTGAGCAGGGAGAGCTTGTGACTTGGCTGGGCAGATGCTGGGCGCAAGCAGGGCGGATGCAGGCCTCGGCCTTAGGAAAGCTTCCCTAGTTCCCTCTGCCAGTCACCCTTGTTTTGCCTCACCTTTCCTCCACCTCTATCCCCTTGCTCCTCCCACACACTCAAACCTTATGACAGTACTAAATTTGGCTTCTTTTTCCTGTCTTTTATATTTCTCAGGTTTCCTCTCACAAAAGGAATTGGGGAAGCAATGAAGATAATAGCAGAAGTGTGTAAATTAGCAAACACAACTAATAGAATTGACCAATAAAATTGATAAACCTCTGGCCAGTATAACAGAAAAGGCAGGGAGGGGGGCATATGTTCAAAGTTACAAAACCAGAAAGGGAAAATAATCTTAAACACTGATGAAACTGAAAGGATTCACAAGAGTACTTTGCAAAACAAATCAATTTGAATAATTGGACAAAATAGTTTATTTTTCTAAGAAAATATAAATTACCAAAACTGATCCCAGAGTAGAGAAAAACCTAAACAGACTAATATAAACACAGAAGACAATGAGAACTTATCAAATGAGTATCTTTCAAAAATATATCAGACCCAGACTTTTGCACAGGTTAACTCTTTCAAACCTTCATGGGATGTAATTCTGATACTATTCAAAGTTTTTCAAAGGACAGAGGGGAAAAAACACTTCTGAACTATTTTTATAAAGTCAGTATAATACTGATATCAAAACCTGACCAAGTTCAGAAAAAGAAAACTAAATAGAAATCTCACTTGTATCAAATACATATTGCTATATTAGCAGAAAATATTCATCAAAACTTTTGAAAATATACCATGAAGAAGAAACACAGGGTGACTTAATATTAAAACTATGTTAAACTAATCTACCATAAAAGGAGAAAAAAATAGTACAAGTAGTATACAAAACACATTTGACAAAATACAACATTCATCTGTGATTGCAAAAAGGAGAGAGAGAAGGAAGAGACCAGTAAAATAGAAACACATAGATATTTCTTTAACGTTGTCAAAATAAACCCCAAAGTCAGCATCATATATAATTAAACATCAGAAGTATTCCCATTAAAATGATGAACAAAGAGGATACCCACTATCAATGCTGTTATTTAATATTTTTCTGGAACCACTAATCATCACAATTTTAAAAAAGAAGAATATTTGAAAAGAAGAGGCAAAATATATCATTTCTTTCAGCTGATATCTAAAATACTCAAAATCAACCGGGAAACAGTTTGGAATACAGTAATTTCTACTAACACATTAGTAGAAATGAGCAAACGATCACTTAAAATAGAAGAAAATATTTTTGTTTACAACAGCAATCAAAATAAGAATGTAAGATTAAATGAAATAAATTTGAAAGACCTATATAACGGTAATTTCTACTAACACATTAGTAGAAATGAGCAAACAAGCACTTGAAAAAGAAGAAAATATTTTTGTTTACAAAAGCAAGCAAAATAAGTATGTAAGATTAAATGAAATAAATTTGAAAGACCTATATGAAGAAAACTTTAAAACCACTGATAGATATTTAAAAACCACTAAAATAACTGGAAAGACAAAATTTGTTCTTGAATAATAAGACCAAATTTTGCAATAAATTTTCAGGTTATAAATTAAATGAAATCCCAATTAAAATACTACCAAAAGGCTTACTTGGGGGACTTGACCAAGACAAGCATGAAAGGCACAAACAATCTGAGAATGTGTATGGAAAAGGGAACAATGTCAGATAATATGATATAAAATAAATTTTTGCTCTGGCCTGTTTTGCTCAGTGGTTAGAGTGTCGGCCCTCAGACCAAAGGATCAAGGGTTCCATTCTGGTCAAGGACATGAAACTCGGTTGCAATTCAATCCCTGGCCCTTGTTGGAGTCATGAGGAAGGCAACCAATCAGTGTGTCTCTCTCACATAGATGTTTCTCTCTCTCTCCCTCCCTACTACTCTATCTGAAAATCAAAGGAAATTTGTCCTCAGGTGAGGATTTTTTTTTTAAATTTTTTCTGTAATTTTAAAAGTACTAGAGAAGAAATCATAATCAATGGAAGAGAACACTCAAAGAAAGACCCAAATCCACCTGAAAATGTAGTAGAAAATAAAGACTGGGTATTAGATCAGTGGGGAAAATACTGGTGTTTCCCAATAAATGATATTGGGATTATCAGCAGCTTTTTGGAAAGAAAGAAAGCTGGAGCTCTCCCTCATTCTATCAAAATCCGTATATGAGACCAAAATGGCAGCAAAGTGAATGGAAGTTAGACAATCTCCCAGGACCAAACTGAAATTACAACTGAAATAAAGACAAATCTTCAGGAAAAGCCAACAGAAAAGCAGCTTGAGAGGACCATATGACCAGGGACACTGAATCGAACCTGGTGCAAGAGGGGGGCTGGGAGCCCATGGACAGCAGCAGTCTTAGCTGTGAGCAGCAACTTTTGGGTTAAAATCCCAAGCTAGCTCCACAATGCAGAGGGCCAGGACAGAGCACTAAACAAGCTACAGCCACTCACCTTGGGCTCCAGCAAAGGGAGGACAGACTGTAGTGGAACTGTGTGGGGACACTCGGAATTTGGAGGGCACTTAGAGCTTTTGCTGAGTTGCAGCAATGCAGGATGGTGGTCATCTAACTCCTTCCCAGAGCTCTAGGGAGAAGCAGCAGCCCCTCCATTGGAGATTCAAGCCCACCTAGGTGGGCCATTGAAATGCAAGTTGAGGCTCATTAACAACCAGCATCTGCCCCACCCTCTGAAAATCTCCTTTCACTGAGAACCTAAGGGAGTTTTTCATACAACTGACAACCCAAGGCTCTTCAAGTAACTGCTACTGATAGTCTCCAGGGAAAAAGCTAGAGGATAACTGAACTGTTCCTGAGCTAGCAACTCTAACCAGGAAAGTAAGATTTGACAGTGGAGTTTAACATGGGTCCTCCCTCACTCATCCAAACCCAGAGGAGGGAACCACAAAGAGCAGAACACCAACACCCACAGGGAGAACTTGACAGGCTCCAAAGCCCACTGTGACAGCCAAAATGGTGAAACACAGAAACAAAAGCCAAATGAAAGAACAAAAGACCTCTACCGAAGATGAGATAAATGCGGAGCAGTTAGGCAAGTTAACAGAGCTAGAATTCAGAGCCATGATCTTGAGGAAGCTCAATAGCATGAGTAAGAACATACAGATGTTGAAAATCAACCAATTGGAAATTAAAAACCACCAAGAAGAAATCAAGAATGATATATCAGAAATAAAGAACACATTGGAAGGTCTAAACAGCAGAGTAGAGGAAGCTGAGGACCGGATCAGTGAATTAGAAGATGGTAGAAAAAATCAACCAATCAGGAATCCAAAGGAAAAAACTATTTTAAAACAGGAAGACAGCTTAAGAGCACTGTGGGACAACTAGAAACATAATAATATTTGCATCATAGGAGTCCCCGAAGAAGAAGAAAATGAGCAAGGGTTAGAGAATATATTTGAAGAAATAGTGACAGGAAACTTCCCTAATTTGGTGAAGGAAGAAGGCATTCAAGTACAAGAAGCACATAGAGCCCCAAGTAAGAAGAACCCAAACAGGCCCATACCAAGACACATAGTCATTAAAATGCCAAAAATTAAAGACAAAGAGAGAGTCCTAAAGGCAGCAAGAGATAAGCAACAGGTTACCTACAAAGGAACCCCCAGAAGGAAATGGCATGAAGTAATCAAGGTCATGAAAAACAAGGATCTGAATCCAAGACTACTCCACCCACCAAGGCTGTCATTTAAAATAAAAGGTCAAATAAAGAGCTTCCCGGACAAAAAAAAAAGGCTAAGGGAATACATTAGCACCAAACCAGCACTGCAAGAAATGTAAAAAGGACTGCTGTAATTAGTAGAAGAAATAGGAAGAAAAATATAACCAAACTAAATAGAAATGGCAATAAATAAGTACATGTCAATAATCACCTTAAATGTAAATGGACTGAATGTTCACAGAGTAGCTGATTGGCTAAGAAAGCATGACTCATCTATATGTTGTTTATAAGAGACCCACCTCACAACAAAAGACTCACATAGGTTGAAAGTAAAGGGATGGAAAAAAATCTTCTAAGCAAACGGAAAAGAAAAAAAAGCTGGGGTAGCAATACTCATATCTGATAAAATAGATTTCAAAATGAAGGCCATAACTAGAGGCAAAGAAGGCCACTACATTACAACTGAAAGGATCTATCCAACAGGAAGATATAACCTTGATAAACATATATGCACCCAATATAGGAGCACCAAAATATATTTAAAATCTTCTAGAGGACTTCGAAAGAGAAATCGACAGCAATACAATCCTAGCAAGGGACTTCAACACCCCGTTGACACCACTGAATAGATCCTCTAGACAAAAAATTAGCAAGGAAACAGAGACTCTAAATGAAGCACTAGAACAAATGGATTTGACAGATATCTACAGAGAATTACACCCCAAAAGTGCAGAATTCACATTCTTCTCAAGTGCACGTGGGACATTCTCTAAGATAGACCACATGTTTGGACACAAACTAAATCTCTACAAATTCAAGAAGATTGAAATCATACCAAGCATCCTCTCAGATCACAATGGCATGAAACTAGAAATCAACTGCAACAAGAACATGCAAAGGCATTTGAACACATAAAGGCTAAATAGCATGTTATTAAACAATGAATGAGTTACCATGGAGAACAAGGAAGACATTAAAAGCTTCCTGGAAACCAATGAAAATGAACACACAACAACACAAAAATCATGGGATGCAGCGAAAGCAGTTCTGAGAAGGAAGTTCATAGCACTAAAGGCCTACCCCAAGAAACAAGAAAAATTTCTAATTGACTGTCTAACCTCACAACTTAAAGAATTAGAAAGCAAACAAAAAGAAAACCCCAGAGCAAGTAGAAGGAAGGAAATAGTGAAGATCAGAGCAGAAATAAATGACATAGAGACAAAAAAAAAAAAAACAATTCAAAGGATCAATGACACAAAGAGCTGGTTTTTCAAAAAGATAAACAAGATCGATGGACCCTTAGCTAGACTCACCAAAAAACAGAGAGAATCCAAATACACAAAATCAGAAATGAAAGAGGAGAAGTACCAACTGACACCACAGAAATACAAAAGATCATTAACACATACTATGAACAACTATATGGCAACAAATTCGACAATCTAAGCAAAATGGACAAATTTCTAGAAACACACAGTCTCCCAAAACTGGACCGGGAAGAGATAGAAAACTTGAACAGACCAATAACAACTAAGGAAACTGAAGAGGTAATCAAGACTCTTCCAGCAAACAAAAGCCCAGGCCCAGATGGCTTCACAGGGGAGTTTTACCGAATATTCGAAAGAGAACTAACACCCATTCTCCTCAAACTATTTCAAAAAATTCAAGAAGAAGGAAGTCTTCCAAACTCATTTTATGAGGCCAGCATAATTCTAATTCCAAAACCAGAAAAAGACACTACAAAGAAAGAAAACTACAGGCCAATATCCCTGATGAACATAGACGCCAAAATACTAGCAAATCGTATCCAGCAATACATCAAAAAAATTATTCACCATGACCAAGTGGGATTCATCCCAGGTATGCAAGGCTGGTACAATATTCACAAATCAATAAATGTGAAATACCACATAAACAAAATGAAAAATAAAAACCACATGATCATATCAATAGATGCTGAAAAAGCATTCGACAAAATCCTGCATCCACTTCTGAGTAAAACACTCAGCAATATGGGAATAGAGGGATGAAACTTTTGCCACTCTTATTTAACATAGTACTGGAAGTCTTAGCCACAGCAATCAGACATGAAGAAAAAATAAAATGGATCCAAACTGGAAAGGAGGAAGTGAAACTGTCATTATTTGCAGATGACATGATATTATACATAGAAAACCCTAATGACTCCATCAAAAATCTACTAGACTTAATCAATGAATTTGGCAAAGTAGCAGGATACAAAATTAGCATCAGGAAATTGACAGCATTCTTATACACCAATGATGAACTCCCAGAAAGAGAAACTAAACAAACAGTCCCATTTACCATCGCAGCAAAAAAATTAAGATACCTAGGAATAAACTTAACCAAAGGCCGTGGCCAGTTTGGCTCAGCAGTTAGAGAGTCAGCCTGCGGTCCAGAGAGACCCAGGTTCGGTTCCTACGAAGGGCGCTTACCTTGGTTACAGTTTGTCCCCGGCCCTGGTTGGTCATGCGGGTGGCAGCCATTCGATGTGTCCCTTTCACGTCGATGTTTCTCTCTCTCTCTCTGTTCCTCTCTCTCCTTCCCACTCTATCTGAACAAAAAAATGGAAAAATGTCCTCGGGTGAGGATAAATAAATAAATAAACAAACAAACAAACTTAACCAAAGAAGTAAAGGACTTATTTGCAGAAAACTACAGGATATTGAAAAAAGAAACAGAGGAAGATATAAAAAAAATGGAAGCATATACCTTGTTCATGGATTGGTAGAATTAATATCATTAAAATTTTCATACTTCCCAAAGCAATCTATAGATTCAATGCAATCCCCATTAAAATACCAATGACATATTTCACAAAAGTAGAACAAATACTTCAAAAGTTCATAAGGACACCAAAAAAGATCCCCAATAGCCACAGCAATCTTGAAAAAGAACAAGGTAGGAGGGATCACAATATGGGATATCAGGTTATACTACAATGCCACTGTAATCAAACAGCCTGGTACTGGCTTAAGAACAGGCATATAGATCAATGCAACAGAACAGAGAACCCAGAAATTGACCCAAGACATTATGCTCAATATTTGACAAAGGTGGCAAGAGCATACAATGGAGGAAAGATAGCCTCTTTAATAAATGGCGTTGGGAAAGTTGGACAGCTACATGCAAAAAAATGAAACTAGACCATAAGCTTATACCATACACAAGAATAAACTCAAAGTGAATAAAAGACTTAAATGTGACCCGTGAATCCATAAAAATCCTAGAAGAAAATGGAGGCAACAAAATTTCAGACATGATACACAGGAGAATTTTCACTGATATATTACCTAAGGCAACAGAAACAAAGGAAAAAATGAACATATTGAACTACATCAAACTAAAAAGCTTCTGCACAGGAAAAGAAACAACCATCAAAATGGACAGGGAACCCACTATATGGGAGAATATAATTGCCAATGATACATCAGATAAGGGGTTAATTTCCAAAATATATAGAGTGCTCATACAACTCAACAAAAGGAAGACAAAGAACCCAATTAAAAAATGGGCAGAGGAGCTGAATAGACACCTCTCCAAACAGGACATACAAATGGCTAAGAGACATAGGAAAAGAAAGAACCCAATTGAAAAATGGACAGAGGGCCCTGGCCAGTTTGACTCAGTGGTTAGAGCACTGGCCCGAGATCCAGAGAGACCCAGGTTTAATTCCCACTAAGGGCATGTACCTCCATTGCAGTTTGTCCCCAGCCCGGTTGGGTCATGCAGGAGGCAGCCACTTGATATGTCCCTTTCACATCAATGTTTCTCTCTCTCTTTTCCTCTCTCTCCCTCCCATTCGATCTGAACAAAAATGGAAAAATGTCCTTGGGTGAGGATAAAAAAAAAAGAAAGAAAGAAAGAAAGAAATGGGCAGAGGAGCTAAGTAGACACCTCTCCAAACAGGACATACAAATGGCCAAGAGACATATGAAGAAATGCTCAACATCACTAATCATCAGAGAGATGCAAATTAAAATAACAATGAGGTATCACCTCACACCTGTCAGAATGGCCACCATCAACAAATCATCAAACAACAAGTGTTGGCGAGGGTGTGGAGAAAAGGGGACTCTAATACACTGCTGGTGGGAATGCAGACTGGTCAGCCACTATGGAAAACAATATGGTGCTACCTCAAAAAGTTAAAAATTGAACTGCCATTTGACCCAGTGATCCCACTTCTAGGAATATACCCTAAGAAGTCTGAAACACCCATCAGGAACAATATATGTACCCCCATGTTCATAGCAACACTATTTACAATAGCGAAGATCTGGAAACAGCCCAAGTGTCCATCAGTAGATGAATGGATAAAAAAGTTGTGATACATATACACAATGGAGTACTATGCAGGTGTAAGAAAGAAAGATCTCTTATCCTTTGAGACGACATGGAGGGACCTGGAAAGTATTATCCTAAGTGAAACAAGCCAAGCAGAAAAAGACAAATACCACATGGTCTCACTTATTTATGGCATATAATGAACATAACAGTCTGAGGAACAAGGTAGACCCAGAAACATGGAAGTAGGGTACAGACTGACATCCCTCAAAAAGTGGGTAGTGGGGGGAGGGAAGAGATAAACCACAGAACTTTCTATGCGTGTATGCATGACCAATGGACATAGACAACAAAGCTGGGGACAGGGTGGGGGTGATGAGGAGGAGGGTGTCAATAGGGAAAAAATGAGAAACATCTATAACAAAAATAAATTAATAAAAAAATCAATATGTACTTAACTCTACCTGCATATACATACTTCTTTCTCTATAAAATATACACTGTTAACAGTGGTTACTTTTAAGGAGACAGACTAGGGTTGGGTTAAGGGAGGAGAAAGAAATTTATGTTATTTATCTTTCTATACTGTGTGCATTTCATCTCTTAAAAATATAAAAATTTTAAAAATAAAATGTATGTGCAAAAAAATATAGGCAATTTTAACATAATCAGATTTGCATTCTGACAATTTATGGTATTTTTTTCTGTTTTTAAATATTTTTTTTATTATTGATTTTTTAGAGAGGAAAGGAGAGAGAGATAGAAACATCAAAGTGAGAGAGAAACATCGATCAGCTGCCTCCTGTACACCCGCTACTGGGGATCGAGCCCAAAACCCGGGCATGTGCCCTGACCGGGTGTCAAACCAGGACCTCAGTTCATGGGACAATGGTCAATCCACTGAGCCACACCAGCCCGGCAATGGGGTTTTGTTTGTTTTTTTCATAGCCCATATGCATTAAAACAAAACCTGTTTTTTTCATTGCAGGGTCTTCTCATAGGATCATTAGTTTGTTTCATCATCGCTGAAGCCCATGAGTCATACATAACAATCACAGTTCTGGAAACTGGCATTGTTCTTTTTTTTATTCTAATATATATGTTAACCCTTCACCACTTGATGACTTGTATACATTGGCCCTTACTTGTAAGTGTTCATTTTCATAATTCAAATGTAAGCTTTGCCCTCAGCCCCAGCGTAGAGGCTCTCCTTAACACCCAGAAAACAGCCAGAGATATCTCTCTGGACAAAGATATAGCTGAGCTGTAAAATTAAGAGTGTTCCCTATCCCAAGGGAGAAACTAGCTTTATACCCCTCTGTCTGCAGCACAAGCAGCACACACACACCTGATTCCATCTCATTATGGTTCTGAACACATGGTACTTTTCAGCTTGACCTAAACAAAATTTTAATTTATATATTCAGTTGGTATATATTTCTTACCTATTGCTTATAAAACAGCATACGCTTCCACTTTTCATACAGTACTCTAACAGATTATAAACACCACCACCCCCACACACACAAAGCAAGAGTGAATGTGGCAGAGTTGTAGAAAATTGTCACGCATGCCCTGAAAGATTATAGGAGTCAATCTTCCATGTGTGTTAAGGGTTCATACACCCAAAGGGGTGCCAGATGATGAAGTATTCAGGAAAAGACATTGCACTTTCTTCAATAACTATTTCAGAATCTCACATTCTTTAACAACTGAAAAGTTCCTGAAGCTAATCCCTCAGGTCTCAGATCAATGCTATTTGTTGTGGAAACTGTAGCTCTGCATCCTCAGACTAGAGAAGGACAATAACTTTGTCCACATACAGATACCAGCCCAGGTCCTGGCCCTGCACCTTACCAGCTATGTGAACTTCAGCCTCAGTTTCTCCATCTAGGAAATTCAGGGAAGGAAAAGTGTAATAATGATTGCCTCGTGGGGCTCCTATAACCCTTACATGTGTTTAAAGCAAATAACACAATGCTTGGCATGAAGTAAATACTCATTCTGAGTGTCCAGCAGACCCCATAGGCAGGGGGGTGGCTATACCATTTGAGTTTGCACTATGAACAATCCCCACTCTGAGCTCAGGCCTCTTCCACACCCAACTTCCTAATAGTACCATTTTCTATCCTTGAGGTAGAATTGGTTGCTATTGAGCTAAAACTCAAAATATTTTCTTCAACTGTCATGGATTTTCTGAAAAGGCTGCTGAGCTCCCTCTGTCTCACCGCGTACCAAGCAACAGGAAGCAGACAAAGCAAAATCTGAGCGACTCTAATTGGACATGTGGAAGATCCTCTTAGTTATGGAGAGCTCTAACCAGGGAGAGGTTTCTCAGGGGAAACTGAAATCTCTGTCCATGGAAACTTTCAAGAAGGGGATGTAAAGTAATTGTTTCTGAGCACATATCATGCGCCAGATACTTTTTTCATATATATTACCTTATTTAATCCTCACAACAATCCAATTAGGTTGTAGTCACCCCCCATTCTCCGTTTGACAAGTGAGAAAATCGGATTACAGGGATTAAGTTGCCCATGGTCATATGTAGGCATGAAAACTCACATTTGAACCCAGGTCTGTCTGACTCTAAAGCCTAGATTCTTCCTCAGCTTTATGCCCTATTGCTTTGTGATGGTTTCCCTGTCTCCACCCTCCCTACATCTCTGTTCTCCCTAGATTCTTAGAATTTTATGTTTTCTGTATCTTGCCTGTTTCCTCGTGGTTTCCTTCAAATGTGGAGCCAAGGATAAACTGATTATCCTGGGGGTGAGAGGGGAAACAGGCCCTTGGGTGTGGGTGACTGAGGGCTCCACAGCATCAAGGTCAGCAGCTGTGGGCAGGAGGACCAGAGCCCTCTGAGAAAAGGTCAACTGCCATAAAGCTGGAGAGAGCCACAAGGCACCATGCTTTGCTGTTAGGCTCAGGGCAGGTATCCAGGCAGTGTCTCAGACAGAGGCAAGAGCTGGGTCTCCTAAGCATGAACATAAAGGTCCTGTGAGAGGAGCTATTCTCACAGCAGTCATAGGCAGCTCAGGCCAACTTTTGTACAGTTGCAGGCCTTTGGTCAACTCTGATAAAGCCAGGTCCCCTTTTGCTACCTCTGTCCTGGGGTGAGAGGTCCTGTCTCTTTTCTTTGAATGGCTGTAGGATCCCAGAGCATGTTTCAGAGTCCCTGGTTTTTCCTTGCTACTGTCCTCCAGGATGTGGGCCAGGGCCTGGACTAGCATATATATGCCTGGTGAACTCCCAAGAGCTTCTAGTTAGGAAACTTTGTCTTACCACAAAGGTTGCCCAGTTATTCTGATGTTCAACTAACTAGCAGTCCACATACTAATCAACATAGCTGGTCAAGTGGTGAGTGATCTAATTGACTTGGAAGGTTTCTATAAACACCTATCAAAACAAGATCCAAAACTGTGTTCTCTTCTCCTATCCAGCTCTTTCCTTTCTAATATGCCCTTTTAGATCCCATAAAATGAAGGACATGTACATATAAGATTACTCAGAGAGCTTTAAGAAAAAATGGCTACTACTGGGTGGTAATAGGGACGGAGGCCTTGCACAGTTAGAAGTGTACTGGCTTGGTGACAGTATTGATGCCTAGCAGGTAACTAACTGAAACTTCAGAGAGTAGGTGGTAGGTGGACTTGGAGATGTGTTGGCAACGAACTACAGGAGACACTTGGGACCTTATCAAAAGATCAGTGCAGCAAGCCAGAGGATACATGGCCTGTTTCCCATTGTCACTGTTTCAGAACTCTGCACAGGCTTGAGGCCCTGCCCCCGCACTACAGGGGTCCAGCTTGCACAGCTGCCACTTTCTTTTAGCTCTTCCCTCCAGGCAAGATGGCTTGGTGCCCAGGGGCCAAAGGATTAGGGTAAGGAGTACTGATCTTAAGTGGCAATTTCCTTAAAGGCTCACACGAAGATAAAGTTCTTGATTCCCCTATTCCCATTCTTGTTTGGTAATGGGCTAAGAGTGAAAGTCCACAGCAGGGAGATAGAAAGTCTGATGAATCAAGGTTTTTGACCCTCATCAGGGCAGCACCAAGGAGCACTGGCCTCACATAAGATGACCTACTGAGGTCTGTGGACTCCAGGACTATATTGAGCAGGGGCTCCTTCTCTGGAGATAGGATGGAGCCTGGGCTTGGGGACCCACAGTCCAGTCTCAATTGCAGCTTCTCACTTCTGTGAAGGTTGTGCCAGGGTCCCTGACACCCATGGGAAGGTGCAGATCCAACTCTCAGCTAACCCCTGCCTTGTCAACATGGCTCTGAATCACAGCTAGTTAGAATATAGCTTTCCTCACTTCACCACGGTGAAATACTCTCTTCATTTTTAGACTTCATTATCTATTTTACCCACCCTCGTCTAGTATCATTTGGCAATGTACCCAAGAAAAATATAAACTGTAATTACTGTCTTATAAATAGCCCACATTTTTAACACTTCTACACTGTAAACAATATTATCCAGTATGGTCAGAGAAACTGAGTCCTGGTTAAGCAGATGTTTTCCCCAATATTTTAAAAGAACATAATAAACATAATTTAAAATAAAACTCCATAGAAGTGATGATTCATAAACTACTAGCTATATCTTTACATTTATAACTGAGAGGTATCAGCTTTAGAATGTTCCCTTCAAATAGATTAATGAAAAACAACAGTTCTAGTGATTTCTGGTCAGACTCTGCCACGTTTGGAGAACTACAAACACAAATGGAACCAATGAAAGTTGCAGCTAGTTGACCACCATCTAATGTTTATTGTGTATAAATTCTTGTTACAAATACCACATTTTGTGAAATAAATTTAAATGTTTCACTTTCTTTCTAATAGTCAATGGTATTTAAAAATAAGCATTCAACATTAGAGTATCTTTTTCTTTCCCAGTTACAATTCTACATCATTTTGTTTATCTCAGAGAAAAGTCTGAGAGCTTTAAGGAAAAATAACTGTCAAGGAACAAACCTATCTCTCATTTTGCTCAGCAAAGATTACTTGAATCAATAGGGTATTTAGTCAAGGGAGGAGAGAAACAGATGATGAATAAGAATGGCATTTACAGGAAAACCAGCCAGAAGTCCTACTGCAAGGCTCAGCTGCAATTTTACCCAATCAAGAACATATCTCTCTGTCAAAGAGGAGGCCAATAAGAGGGTCTGTGTCTATGGCAAAAGGGAGAGGGGTTAGTCAGAAGAAGGCCCTTGGGCACTAAAGTCAGACTGCTGAGGGTCATAGCTACTTACAGTCTGAGAAACCCCAGGCAAATTGCTTCCCCACCTATAAACTGGGGATAATGAAATTTTGTTGTGAGAATCAAATCAGATCGTGTATTAACAACCTGGCACAGTATGTGACACATAGTAAGTACTCAAGAAATATGAGCTACAACAGAAATGTTAGGTACAAGACAAACATTACCTCCAAGGGACAGTTAAGGAGAGCACTTCCTTTTGAGTAAGGACCAGAGTAGACTATAACATCCAGTAGTCCAGTGAGGAGATGGAATCATGACAGAGAGTCAGGTAGGCCTCGTCTGTATGTGGTTTATTATTATTATTGTTGTTAATGTATTTCCATCCAAATTCTCAATGGTCTATAACCACAGCTAGTTAATTTTTTATTTTAAAAAGCCTACACTCTGCTTCTTAGTTGTAAGAGTCCTTGTTCCCCATCTTTGAATATCTTAGTTTGCACAATCCTCAGGTACCAAGTTTCCTGCAAAGCTGCAAACCACCATACCTGCCCCACAGTAGTCAGACCTCTCACTCAGCCTACAGAACCCAGCTGAAACTTACTTCCAACCCTCACCAGTTCTGCTCCATATGCCCCTTCTAGTGTTACCCATCAGGTGCCCAAATAATAGGCATTAGTGCCCTTCCAAAAAGCAAGTTCACATTCAACGAAAGGGCTCCTTGCTTGCCAATCTCAATAGGAAAAACACCTGGAGTTTGCTGAAATTTTACTATCTGTGCACATTTTGAGGACAGATATCACAAATCTACATTTTGATGCACTCCCACTACCCACGAGATGCCAGGCACCTTATCTGATGCTTTCAGATTCATTATGCCATGTAATCTTCAGATCAACCCAATGAATCCCAATCATTATCTTCATATTAAAAATTAGCGTGTTGGCACAAAGTGGTGATACAACATAACCTGGGTCACTAAGAATTGGCAGGCCAAAAATGAGTTCAACAAATGACATCAACAAAAAGCACTCTCACCTTTTTTGTCCCATATCATGTTAACTCTCCATGACCCATTCCACTGAAAATGCCAGAGATGGATGCTGCACTTCCAATCCAGGGGTATAGTTCATTTCCTCCTTTTTTGGATGTCCCTGATGGAAGACAATAGTGATTTGAGTTCTGATTCCACTCCTTGGCAGATATTCAATTTTAGGCAATTTAATAAACCTATTATATCCTCTTAAATGGAGAACATAACAATACTGACTTTGCAGGATGTTTATGAGGATTAAATGAGATAATTACGGGGAAAAGCTTGACACATTGAAGAGCTCCATTAGAGCCCTTGTGTTTCCATACACTGGATGGCAGGGCTCCTTGCTATGTTTGGGCAAGTACCCCAGACAGGCTGACACTACCAAGTCAGGCCACTTTAAGACTAAAAATGTTCAAATTAGATCTCTGGGCCATATCGTGATTATATCACCCTGGGCTTTTGCCCCTCCCCACAAACTGCTGCCATGGACACACAGAGTACTCTCTTCATTAGTGCTCCACTATCAAAACCCAGCCTATGCTTGTACTCAGAAATGCGCACCCACCCACTCATCCTCACCCTTTACTTAGCAGTTAAAGAACCCAGTACTGAAATCCAGAAGGAAGGACACACATAGCCTATAGATGTCAGGGCAGACACAACTGTGGCCATGTCTTAGGAAAGAACAAAAGTCAACAGCACATGCATTCACTCCAGAATACCAAACCTGCTCATCAGATGGGTTCCTGCCTTCTTGGGATGTGTGAACCTACAGAATAAATATGGCCCAATTTCCAAAGAATAGATTTTACCTGCAGATTTGAGAATGAAATTAAATCAATAAAGTGCTAATCTAAAATTTTGTTTTTACATTAAAACAAATGTATTGTGAAACAGAAAGCAGAATTATATTAATTTCAAATATAAGGCTTCAAAATATCATATTTATGGAAGACCAATTTGGGATAGGCCCCAAGACTTCCTAGGTTTTTTCATGCCTTTAAGAAAAGTCTGACAGAAAAGTTGTCAGTTGTTTTTTTGGGTTTTTTTAATGGTGTTCTTTAATGAAATTAAGCCCATTTCTGCTGACCAAGTCCTATCTAGGACCTTAAAAATTACATAAACTTATGTCTCTGGAAGATGTAAGAATTATGCTGCTGGGAGTTCCTCTTAATATTAATCAAAGGGAAAGTTTTAAAAAGGCATCCATCCTTAGATGGGTAATTGACAAATTTAAATATTTTATGAAATTACATTTTCATGTAAAGCTGACAATTTTAAATTCTGTATTACAGGATCTTATCAACAGTTGCATTACAACTGTGTTCCTTTTAATAGTTGCCTTCTTAACAATGAGAGAAAAGGAAAGAAGGCATTTATTCTATGTTGGAGGGGTAAGTAGAGGCCTTCATGACCCCATTTTATTTTATTTATGTATTTATTTATTTATTTATTTTTATTACATATGCTTCTCCTTTTTTTCCATTGACACCCTCCTACTGATCCCACCCCCCTCCTCACAGCATTGTTATCTACGTCCATTGGTTATGCAAATATGCATATAAGTTCTGTGGTTTATTTCTTCCCTCCCCCGACCCTCCTCTGAGGTTTGTCAGTGTGATCCCTACTTCTTTGTCTCTGGGTCTATTTTGTTCATCAGCTTATTATTCTCATTATATTCCACAAATAAGCAAGACCATGTGATACTTGTCTTTCTCTGCTTGGCTTGTTTCACTTAGCATAATACTCCCCAGGTCCCTCCATGTCATCTCAAAAGATAAGAGATCTTTCTTTCTTACAGCTGCATAGTACTCCACTGTGTATATGTACCACCGCTTTTTTATCCACTCATCTATTGATGAACACTTGGGCTGTTTCCAGATATTAGCTATTGTAAATAGAGCTGCTATGAACATGGGGATGCATATAATTTTTTCTGATTGGTGTTTCGGGCTTTTTAGAATATATATTCCGCCCTGGCCAGTTTGGCTCAGCAGTTAGAGCGTCGGCCTGCAGTCCGGAGAGACCCGGGTTCGGTTCCCGCTAAGGGCACGTACTTCGGTTGCAGTTTATCCCCGGTCCTGGTTGGTCGTGCAGGTGGCAGCCACTCGATGTGTCCCTTCACGTCGATGTTTCTCTCTCTCTCTCCCTTCCTCTCTCTCCCTCCCACTCTATCTGTACAAAAAATGGAAAAATATCCTCGGGTGAGGATAAAAAAAAAAAACAATATATATTCCTAGAAGTGGGATCACTGGGTCAAATGGCAGTTCAATTTTTGATTTTTTGAGGAAACACTATATTGTTTTCCATAGAGGCTGCACCAGTCTGCATTCCCACCAGCAGTGTACAAGGGTCCCCTTTTCTCCACACCCTCACCAGGACTTGTTTGATGATTTGTTGATGGCAGCCATTCTGATAGGTGTGAGGTGATACCTCATAGTTGTTTTAATTTGCATCTCTCTGATGATTAGTGATGTTGAGCATTTCTTCCTATGTCTCTTAGCCATTTGTATGTCCTGTTTAGAGAGGTGTCCATTCAGCTCCTCTGCCCATTTTTTAGTTGGATTCTTTGTCTTCCTTTTGTTGAGTTGTATGAGTACTCTATATATTTTGGAAATTAACTCTTTATCTGATGTATCATTAGCAATTATGCTCTCTCATACAGTGGGTTCTCTTTCCATTTTGATGGTTGTTTCTTTTGCTGTGCAGAAGCTTTTTAGTTTGATGTAGTTCTATGTGTTCATTTTGTCCTTTGTTTCTGTTGCCTTAGGCATTGTATCAATAAAAATTCTGCTACGTGTGATGACTGAAATTGTGTTGCCTACATTTTCTTCTATAATTTTTATGGATTCATGAGTCACATTTAAGTCTTTTATCCATTTTGAGTTTATTCTTGCATATGGTATAAGTCTATAGTCTAGTTTTATTATTTTGCATGTAGCTGTCCAGTTTTCCCAACACCATTTATTAAAGAGGCTGTCTTTACTCCATTGTATGTTCTTTCCACCTTTGTCAAATATTAATTGAGCATAATGTCTTGGGTCAGTTTCTGGGTTCTCTGTTCTGTTCCATTGATCTATATGCCTGTTCTTAAGCCAGTACCAGGCTGTTTGGTTACAGTGGCTTTGTAGTATAACCTGATATCCCATATTGTGATCCCTCCTATCTTGTTCCTCTTTTTCAAGATTGCTGTGGCTATTGGGGATCTTTTTTGGTGTCCTTATGAACTTTTGAAGTATTTGTTCTACTTTTGTGAAATATGTCATTGGTATTTTAATGGGGATTGCATTGAATCTATAGATTGCTTTGGGTAGTATGAAAATTTTAATGATATTAATTCTACCAATCCATGAACAAGGTATATGCTTCCACTTTTTTATATCTTCCTCTGTTTCTTTTTTCAATATCCTGTAGTTTTCTGCAAATAAGTCCTTTACTTCTTTGGTTAAGTTTATTCCTAGGTAATATTAATGTTTTTGCCACAATAGTAAATGGGATTGTTTTTTTAGTTTCTCTTTCTGTGAGTTCATTGTTGGTGTATAAGAATGCCATCGAGCCCTGGCCAGTTTGGCTCAGCGGTTAGAGCGTCGGCCTGCAGTCCGGAGAGACCCGGGTTCGGTTCCCGCTAAGGGCACGTACTTCGGTTGCAGTTTGTCCCCGGCCCTGGTTGGTCGTGCAGGTGGCAGCCACTCGATGTGTCCCTTCACATCGATGTTTCTCTCTCTCCCTTACTTTCTCTCCCTCCCACTCTATCTGTACAAAAAATGGAAAAATATCCTTGGGTGAGGATTTAAAAAAAAAAAAAAAAGAATGCCATCGATTTCTGGGTATTAATTTTTTATCCTGCTACTTTGTCAAATTTATTTATTAAGCCCAGTAGATTTTTGACAGAGTCTTTAGAGTTTTCTATGTACAATATCATATAATCTACAAATAATGGCAGTTTCACTTCCTCCTTTCCAATTTGGATCCCTATTTTCTTTTTTTAATTTTTTTTATTTTTTATTTTATTTTATTTTTAAATTTTTATTGTTGAATGTATTACAGATGTTCCTCATTTTTCCCCCATTGACACCCTCCTCCCCACTCCCGCCCCCCTCCTGTTGTTTCCCACACTGTTGTCTGTGTCCATTGGTTATGTATATACGTTCTTTGGTTTATTTCTTCCCTCCCCCAACCCCCTTCCCTTTCAGGTTTGTCAGTATAGCAACCAATTTTACTTCTTAATCCCTTCACCTTTTTCACCCATTCCCCCAACCCCCCTCCCATCTGCCAACCAACAAAATAGTCTCTGTATTTATGAGACTGTTTCTGTTCTGCCTGTTCATTTTGTTTGTAGATTCCACTGTCGATAGATATGTATTCATTGCCATTTTTTTGTTCATATATTTTATCTTTTTCTTCAAAAAGACCCTTTAACATTTCATATACTAACAGTTTGATGGTGATGGACTCCTTTACTTTTTCTTCTCTGTGAAATTCGTTATATGGCCATCGATTCTAAATGACAGCTTTGCAGGATAGAGGAATCTTGGTTGTAGGTTCTTGCTTTTCATCACTCTGAATATTTCTTGCCACTCCCTTCTGGCCTGCAAAGTTTCTTTTGAGAAATCAGCTGACAGTCTAATGGGAACTCTCTTGTAGGTAACCAACTGCTTTTCTCTTGCTGCTTTTAAGATTCTCTCATTGTCTTGAACCTTTCGCATTTTGATGATGATGTATCTTGGTGTGAGTCTCTTGGGGTTCATCTTGTTTGGGACTCTCTGTGCTTCCTGGATTTGTATGTCTGTTTCCTTCACCAAGTTAGGAAAGTTGTCTGCCATTATTGTTTCAAATAGGTTTTTCATCTGTTGCTCTCTCTTCTCTTTCTGGCACCCCCAAGATGCAAATGTTGGCACACTTGAAGTTGTCTCAGAAGCTCCTGACACTACCCTCATTTTTTTGGACTCTTTTTTCTTTTTGCTGTTCTACTTGGGTGTTTTTTGCTTCCTTATATTCCAATTCAATGGTTTGCTTCTTGGCTTTACCTACTCTACTATTGAATCTGTGTAAATTATTCTTTATTTCAGTTAGTGCCTCCTTCATTTCTGACTGGTCCTTTTTTATGCTCTTGAGGCCCCCACTAAGTTCGCTGAGGTTCTCACTAAGTTCATTGAGCATCTTTATAAGCAGTATTTTGAACTCAGCATCTGTTAGTTTGCTTAACTCCATTTCGCTTAGCTCTTTTCCTGGGGTTTTGTTCTGTTCTTTCATTTGGGACCTGTTCCTCATTTGGGCTGCCTCCCTGTGTTTGTTTCTGTGTATTACTTAACGAGAGGTATGGGGCTATCTGAGACCAGATGGTGCTTGTTTGAAAGAATTTAGGAAAACCTGAAGCAGGATCCAAGACAGGCCAATCCTATGGTTAATCAACTGGCAACAGCTTGAGTGGGCCTAAAGGTTGGGTGGGGCAGGGCCTCAGGGAATCACCAGAGTGGGGCTACCAGTATGAGCCAGGTTGCTGGAGTCCCAGATATAGCGGCTGTCTGAGGCTCCAGGGAAGGGCTCACCGAAGGAACAAAGGCCTCTGACAGCATGTTTGTCCCAGAGAAAGCCCTGTCTCCAGCCGTCACTCCAAGGCCAAACAGCTCAGTTCTTCCCTCTATGTCTCTGGTGTCCCTGGAGCTGCCTCCCCTCCAAGCTTAGAGGGAGTGAGTTTGATAAGTCCATGCACGAGCCCTTTAAGAGAAGCTGCCCGGGGCTCTAGCCAACTCAGCCTCCTTGAGCCTCAGTTTCCCCTGGTTTTTCCAGCCAGAAGTTATGGGGACTTCTCTTCCTGGCACTGCAACCCTGAGTGGGGCACCTGGTGTGGGACAGGGACCCCTCTGTCCTCAGGGAGGACCTTCCCAGCCGAGGTAGCCTCCTGATTTTATTCACCACACGTGGGTGTGGGACCAGCCCATCCACTCCGCCCCTCCTACCAGTCTTGATGTGGCTGCTTCTTTAATTCTGTAGTTGTAGGACTTCCATTCACCTTGATTTCAGGTGGTTTTGAATGGTGGTTGTTCTGTAGTTTAGTTGTAACTTTGCTGTGGTTGTGGGAGGACATGATACTGCGTTTACCTACGCCGCCATCTTGACTGGAAGTAACCTAGATCCCTATTTTCTTCTTGTCTAATTGTTGTGGCTAAGACTTCCAGTACCATGTTAAATAAGAGTGGCAAAAGTGGGCATCCCTGTGTTGTTCCTGTTCTTAAGGGAAATGCTGTTAGTTTTTGCCCAATGAGTATGATGTTGGCTGTAGGTCTTTCATATATGGCCTTTATTATGTCAAGATATGATCACTCTATTCCCACATTGTTGAGCATTTTTATCAGAATTGGGTGCTGGATTTTATTTAATGCTTTTTCAGTGT